AAGCAGCCTTCAGCCCCAGCTGAGGTCTATCTGCCGGGTCGATCGCGGGCGCTGGAGGAGGATGAGGAGTTGGTCATGGATAAGGCCGCCTACCGTCTGTATTATCAACTGCATGTGGAGGCACCTTGTCTTAGCTTTGACATCCTTCTTGACTGCCTCGGCGAAAATAGGGCTGTTGAAGTCGACGGTGATCCAGTGACCGCCTACATGGTCTCTGGAACTCAGACCGCTCACAAAAAACCAAACAACCTGATTGTGATGAAGTTATCCAACATGAAACCAATGACAAAGAAGGTGGGTAAGTGTGATCTCGGGGTTACTCCTGCTAAGCCTATCTGAGAACTCTCGTTCACGATTAAGTTCTAGTGAATAAGACTTTAATGTGGGTAAACTTGAATGCAGCTTCGAACCAACTTTAGTGGTCTACTACAAACCTTCCTCATTTCTCGTTCTGGTTATATCTGGATAAATAATGCCCACAGCTACTAAGTATAAATGCAGACGGGTTCCTAAATTTCCTAGCTGCTACTTCATTGGTCTGTCCACAGTTCGCGGATAATTAAACGGCCTTCATTGAAATTATTTGTAAAATAAGCAGCTGGTTGGGTCTGACGAACAGACAGTCGCAGACCAACAGCGACAGGGCTATCAGAGTATGGTTTGGGATCTGACACATTGATTGCCATACAAAGTACCACAAAGCCTGATGACAATCATGGACTACCATTCAAAGAGTTTGCTTGCCGCCGTTGTCTTGAGGTTAGGCTCTAGCCAAACACTTGATGCAACCTCGAAGAAACTGTTGGGGACCCGCCTGTGCTTCCATCCTCCGGGTTGTATCCCGCAAAATATCAAATTTAATATAAAGTGCAATGTTAGACTAAAAAGGCGCTTGGTGGTCCGTTCAAGACGAAAACACCGGTAGCTGTTGATACTTCACCGTCCTTGACAAGGTCCTCTGATTGTGGAGATAGATACGTAGGTACGTATAGTTTCCACGACAAAAACGTCTATCGGTTCTCTTGGAACGCATTCAGAGGTTTGGGTTTCGTTCCTTCTTCGCCCGTGGTGCCCTCATACAGCCCGTACCACCGTAGACAGAAGGACTGGTGTAGGGTTAAGTACACTTTGACTTCAAACACGACGTGAATCTCGTTTTTTACAGTCTTCTTACTCCAAGTAGGCTCTTCCTAACCATTTAAATGCTGAAAATGTTTACTTCATTCCTCTATAAGGAAACAACCGAAAAGGAAGACAATGAAGATAGCAGTGATTCGGACTCCGATAGTGAGGATCTGGACAGCCAACCCGAGCTTGAATCCGCGAAGATTCCACACAATGGAACTATAAATCGGGTGCGGGCACATCAGTTCAACGGTGTCTATCTAACTGCAACTTGGTCCGAACTCGGTGAGGTACGTCAGTTAGTTGTTTTTCCTTGCAGTTTTGTGCCTGCCTGTTTTCCGTTTCTTCACTGACAGTTACCTTTCCGTCTCTCACTCTGTTTTAAACTTTAGGTGCATATTTGGGACCTCAGTCGTTCTCTGAGTGCTGTCAATGACTCTGCCATCATGAGTGAATATGTACGCACTCGGGAGGCTCCTAGCCCCCTGTTCACCTTCAAGGGCCACCAGACAGAGGGCTATGCTCTGGCCTGGAGTCCCCTAGCTAAGGCTCAGGGATATTTAGCCTCAGGTGACGTTGCGGGCGCCATCCACATTTGGCAACCGAGAGTAAGTTGATTCTTGCGTTCTTGTACCGTTCTTCGAGTCATGTGGTTGTTCCGGACGAATCTTACAATCAAGGGGCCTCATCACCCTCCCCTCCAAACATCTTATCCTATTTTAGCACGCCCTTTCCATCAGCCAAGACAGCAGTTGACCGTTTTTTGTCAATTATTGATCGGCTTCGGTGAAACGTCTCGGGGCGTGAGCTATGCACTTAGTTTCCACTTGCGCATTGGCCTACGTAAGAACTTGTGGTCATGTTAGTAGGTGGTGACTTATCTTTTACCGAATATAACTGGCACAGCAACCGTGCGAGCGGGAGTAATTGTTTTCTCTGACTGTCCGATAGCCGCGAGCACTCAGGGCAGCACAAATTAGCTCGCCTTCAGGTTACTTTTGCGCTGAAATATCCCTTTTGTATATCGCTTAGCTGTTTGTTTTCAACTTGTCGATGGTGGTAAATTCACAGCATTCAAGTGCATGTGAATTTGAAAAAAAATCATTTGTACTTGGGGATTTTTACGGCGACGGCCTTAAACATAACCGAATTGACTGGTTTTTAGGATGTCTCGAAGTTTCGTCCGTCAACAACGACGATGACCGTCATTATCCCGGAAACAGGGAAAATTTTCTCGGTCTATGCTTATCCTGGTCCCCATATTGATTGTGTTTCAATAACAAAAACCAAGAGGATGAGTAACGGGCGTCGGTCCAGCTGTTGGCTTAGCAAGGAACTTTCAGTTCCGGCCCTTAGATCCAGGTAACCCAGGCCCAATCAAGGGAGCACAGCACCACGAACTATTTCGAAATTAGGAACTGGCGGACCATTCGCTATAGTCGAACGTCGTAGACGCACATTTTTCTTAGTCCTTTTGATCCCCACGCTATTATCTGCCCCTCACTTATACTTTTATATTGGCCTACACTACAGTAGTCGCCGGTTATTAAGCCCACGGTTAATAGGCCCAGC